GCTGCCCATAGCTATAGACCAATGACACAAGAAAATGTGATTAAAAAGGGAAAAAATGTTTTTTCCAGCCCAAAAAGTGTCCTGATATCAAAGTCAGTTACAAGTAGTAGCTTGATCGATTTTTTTAAGCGATGAGGATTGGATAAAATGACACACCTCAGGGATGCCTGGAGATCACTGCTGGTCTGCTAAACATCAGTAAAATGATTGCTGGTGGTCAGGACCAGTCCACCCAAAATTTGAGCATGAAACTGGCTGTAGATGGATCGAATATTGGCTGGTTCAGCAGGGAGCCGCAGAGGTTCGATCTATCTATGGGCAGGCTGACTGTCACCACATTGAGCCATTGATCGACTTGGCATGTCGGATTTTTACCATGTGATTATTGCCAAAGACTATAACCGCTAGCAGTAATCATTGTGTTCTGGCAGGAACAGCCCCCCGTGTCCCCCAACAGCTCTGCAGGAGGGACTGACTGACAACATTGACTGTGTTGATGTGGGAATCGAGCGATTTTCTTCGAGGGAAATAAAATCACATAATCTATGGCCTGCCTTAAACAGCCTGACAGCGACTTTTATCTCTCGGGGACTCTGTTGGGGAGATCCCTCTACTAGGTTCCCAGGTCTCCATACCAGATTTCTTACTCGCTTTATACCATTGAAGAGGTAACAGGATGAACTGGAACACCCAAATCTCTCAGGAAGACAGGACTTATGCAGGCCATACATGGGTCGAATTCCAAACGAATTTTCTTTAGAAAATTGGAAATTTTGTCTGTTTTGTAACCCGATGGCGCCACCATTGATTTTGAAATTCAACCAAACCAAGCCTTTAATTTCACCTCGTGTTGCTACAGAAAAGAATTTTGGTGGCCAAGAATTTCCTTTTCTTTCCAGGTCACAGCTCACGCTCATTTCTTTTTCACTTATATTTCCCGCACAATTCTCCCATCATTGATTCAAAATTCATTAAAAAATTTCCAACATGCCCGATCACTTGGATTCGATGTTAACACGAAAATTGGCCATTTTTGTGACCCACTAATGGTGAGAAATTGGAAAAAAAATTCTTGGAAAAGATTTTCGAAAGAAAATTCTTTCAGAATCCGACCCGTGTATGGCTGGCTTTAGACTCGGTTCACATAACTGCAACTTGAAAGTCGCACGACTTACAGTACATCTTTGCCAGGCGACTTTATGGTGACTTGATGCCATGTGACTTGTGCCTGGGTAATCTTCCTGTAATGTCAGATCCAAATCACATCAATACAGATGAGCTTTTGACTTGGAGGTGACTTCCATTAAAGTCTATGGGCACAATTCGGATACAAGTCGCCTTGACGTAGTACAGGAATCTTTTCTAAATTTGGAGGTCTCATTGAGTAACATGGGATTTCACATGTCATGCGACCTGGGGTCTCACAAGTCGGATCCGAAGTCGCAGCAGTGTGAACTGAGTGGCAAAGAGATTTGGTTGCTGGAATTTTCGATGTATATACAGTGCGGTCAAAGGTCTGCATGCTCCGGGCTATCACACCTACTATAGACCAAATGTATGCAGATCCCATTCATATTACAGAGGTCATGTGTTTCCAGTGAAGGGTTACGTGGTGGTTCAAGTACACACACAGTGACAGTACATACCACAGAGAACCTTAATTACATGATTATACCGGGTACAATGAGGGGGAAGAATATACTATATGAAGCAGTTGTGGTTAATTTACTAGGTAAAGGGGGTCACAAGTGCAAACCCTGATATCACCAAAGGACTGCAGATTATATTTCATAAAACGTAAAGTTACAGAAAGCTGTCAGAAACTGCGGATATGCAACAGGAAATGGTCAGAGACTATGTACATGATACAAGAGATGGTACAGATGGTCAGAGACTGTGGATGTACATGGTACAGAAACTATGGCATGATGGTGGTCAGAGACTGTGGACATGATACAGGAGATGGTCAGAGACTATGGCATGTTACAGGAGATAGTTAGAGGCTGTGGAAATGCTACAAGAGATGGTGAGAGACTGTGGACATGCTACAGGAGATGGTCAGAGACTGTGGACATGCTACAGGAGATGGTCAGTGACTTTGAACATGTTACAAGAGATGGTCAGAGACTGTGCACATGCTACAGGAGATGGTCAGAGACTGTGGACATGTAACAAGAGATAAGCAGAAACTGCAGACATGCTACAAGAGATGGCTAGACACTGTGAAACATGCTACAGGAGATGGTCAGTGACTGTGAACATGTTACAAAAGATGGCTAGAGACTATGGACATGTTACACACGATGGTCAGAGACTGTGAACATGTTACAAGAGATGGCTAGAGATTGTGTACATGCTACAGGAGATGGTCAGAGACTGTGAACATGTTACAAGAGATGGTCAGAGACTGTGGACATGCTACAGGAGATGGTCAGAGACTGTGGACATGTTACAAGAGATGGCTAGAGACTGTGCACATGCTACAGGAGATGGTCAGAGACTGTGGACATGCTACAAAAGATGGTCAGAGACTGTGGACGTGTTACAAGAGATGGTCATAGATTGTGAACATGTTACAAGAGATGGTCAGAGACTGTGAACATGTTACAAGAGATGGTCAGAGACTGTGGACATGCTACAAGAGATGGTCAGAGACGGTGGACATGTTACTAGAGATAAGCAGAAACTGCAGACATGCTACAAGAGATGGCTAGAGACTGTGGACATGTTACAAGAGATTGCTAGAGACTGTGGACATGCTACAAGAGATGGTCAGAGACTGTGGACATGTTACTAGAGATAAGCAGAAACTGCAGACATGCTACAAGAGATGGCTAGAGACTGTGGACATGTTACAAGAGATTGCTAGAGACTGTGAACATGCTACAGGAGATGGTCAGTGACTGTGAACATGTTACAAAAGATGGCTAGAGACTGTGTACATGCTACAGAAGATGGTCAGAGACTGTGAACATGTTACAAGAGATGGCTAGAGACTGTGGACATGCTACAGAAGATGGTCAGAGACTGTGAACATGTTACAAGAGATGGTCAGAGACTGTGGACATCCTACAGGAGATGGTCAGAGACTGTGGACATGCTACAAAAGATGGTCCGAGACTGTGGACATGCTACAGGAGATGGTCAGAGACTGTGGATGTGTTACAAGAGATGGTCAGAGACTGTGGACATGCTACTAAAGATGGTCAGAGACTGTGGGACATGCTACAAAAGATGGTCTGAGACTGTGGACATGTTACAAGAGATGGTGAGAGATTGTGAACATGTTACAAGAGATGGTCAGAGATTGTGAACATGTTACAAGAGATGGTCAGAGACTGTGGCGTGCTAACTGGGGACATACTTTGGGAGCCAATCATACTCTGGAGACACATTATATGAGACTGCTAGAGACTGCTATCTACAACCCCTTTACAAATCAATGTTTCCACATTCGTGTTCTGTACAGCCATTCACTGACTTTTACAACATGTGACATACAACAGCATGCTTCTCTCAGCGTGATCCATTACAAACACATCAAAACAGAACGGCCCTCTGTCTCCTCTTGTACCAGATTGTATTGTGCCTGTCATGTCTGCCGTCGTTTTGTACAGCGCTGCGCACACTGTTGGCGCTATAAATAATAATAATAGAGGCCTCGTGCACACAGGACATTTTGCAAACTCTCTCAGAAGCCTTTCCTCCAGGCAGCAAGGTTTTGGCAGAAGAAACGACTGACACTTTCCGGCGTGTTTACAGACGTCAAGCGCTTGGCATGAATTCATATCACCGGTCAGAGGAATCATTTATTCTGGCCATTGAAATGAATGAACGCTGAAGCGCTAAACACGCCTACCGCTGACATGCGTTTACCAGAGTCAAGTGTTTCTTTCTGACAAAACTCTGCTGCTCCCGGACGCACTGACAGCGGCGCTTTTTCTGCCTCTAAACGCCCCTGATACTAAATGCTGCTAAAAGTCTATGGGGTTTATTTACTAAGGCTGGAGAGTGCAAAATCAGGAGCACTTCTGCAGAGAAACCAATCAGCTTCCGGGTTTTATTGCCAAAGCTTAAAGTGTTACTAAACCCACAACAGTACAATCAGTCTGTAGATGCAGTAAAGCACGCTTGTTATACTCACTGTGGAACCTAAGGGGTTAATCCTTCACATTGTGTAAAAAGGCTGTTTGATCCTGTCTTCTCTGATCCTCCCCTTCCACTGACCCAAATCCATCTGCTAATAGTACAGAGCGCTAGGAGTCACTCTGCACATGCTCAGTGTAGTGTGTATTGCTAGAGTTTTTATTCTTTGGTAGGGTGCATGTGATCAGCACAGGGCCAATCAGCACTGTCCAGACAGAAGGTCAGGGGTCATGCAGCCTCATAGGACAATTATTATTATACGGTATTTATAAAGCGTCAATGGTTCACTCAGCGTTGTACATTACAAAGGGGGACAGAACATCTGACAGACCAATACAATGCAAAACATGAGGGGATCGAGGGCCCTGCTCTTTCAATCGAGGAGCATCAGAGCAGAAATGAAAACGCCTCCTACAAGCTTTAACCAGTGCTCTGCTGGACATTGATAGTAGAAGTCACAAGCAGGGGCAGACTGACAACTCATGGGGCCCCCAGGCAATAGAGAAACATGAGGCCCCTGTGTCCTTGCCCAAACTCAAAAAAGCCTATAAAAAAGGTACCAGGGGCATCTCTTGGGGCCCCCTACTGACCCCGGGCCCTCGGGCAGTGCCCGAGTTTCCAAATGGTCAGTCCGCCCCTGGTCACAAGACTGGTCTAACTGCAGATGAGAAAAGATATTTAGCATATTTACTAAAATATTTGCATTTCCATGTGTACTGTGGGAGACCAGATATAGTGAATGCAGGGTCCGGGGAGACCAGATATAGTGAATGCAGGGTCCTGGGAGACCAGATATAGTGAATGCAGAGTCCTGGGAGACCAGATATAGTGAATGGGGGGTCCGGGGAGACCAGATATAGTGAATGCAGGGTCCGGGGAGACCGGATATAGTGAATACAGGGTCCGGGGAGACCAGATATAGTGAATGCGGGGTCCGGGGAGACCGGATATAGTGAATGCAGGGTCTGTGGAGACCAGATATAGTGAATGCAGGGTCTGGGGAGACCGGATATAGTGAATGCAGGGTCCAGGAGACCAGATATAGTGAATGCAGGGTCCGGGGAGACCGGATATAGTGAATGCAGGGTCCTGGGAGACCAGATGTAGTGAATGCGGGGTCCGGAGAGACCAGATATAGTGAATGCAGGGTCCGGGGAGACCAGATATAGTGAATGCAGGGTCCGGGGAGACCAGATATAGTGAATGCAGGGTCCGGGGAGACCAGATGTAGTGAATGCAGGGTCCGGGGAGACCAGATATAGTGAATGCAGGGTCCGGGAGACCAGATGTAGTGAATGCAGGGTCCGGGGAGACCAGATATAGTGAATGCGGGGTCCGGGAGAGACCAGATATAGTATATGCAGGCTCCAGGGAGACCAGATATAATGAATGCAGGGTCCTGGGAGACCAGATATAGTAAATGCTGGGTCCGGGGAAACCAGATATAGTGAATGCGGGGTCCGAGGAGACCAGATATAGTGAATGCAGGGTCCGGGGAGACCAGAAATGGTGAATGCAGGGTCCGGGGAGACCAGATATAGTGAATGCAGGGTCCGGGGAGACCAGAAATGGTGAATGCAGGGTCCGGGGAGACCGGATATAGTGAATGCATGGTCCGTGGAGACCGGATATAGTGAATGCAGGGTCCGGGGAGATCGGATATAGTGAATGCAGGGTCCGTGGAGACCGGATATAGTGAATGCGGGGTCCGGGGAGACCGGATATAGTGAATGCAGGGTCTGGGAGATCAGATATAGTGAATGCAGGGTCCGGGGAGACCAGATATAGTGAATGCAGGGTCCGGGGAGACCAGATATAGTGAATGCAGGGTCCGGGGAGATCAGATACAGTGAATGCAGGGTCCGGGGAGACCAGATATAGTGAATGCAGGGTCCGGGAGACCAGATATAGTGAATGCAGGGTCCAGGGAGACCAGATATAGTGAATGCGGGGTCACAGGTTTAGTAACAAGCTGAAGCTAGAAGCTGATTGGCTCCCATGAATAGCTGCACCAGATTCTGAGGGCTCCAGTTTTAGTAAATCTCCCCCCCATACATGCATGGACACAAAATCTAACATGGAGCAGAGTTTAGAGACAGGAATAAATCCCCTGGATGTCCCTATAAGTAGCTGTAAGAACGTCCAGTGTGCATGAGGCTGAAAAGAGGAAAGAGATGGACAGCACAGAAAAAATAAGAAAGAATATTCCTGGCATTAATAATCAGCAGAACACAGAATGCTGTATGGTGGGGCCCCAAAGTACTAAGGGGCCCGGGTTGGGCTCCAGCAATAGAGGCTCAGTTATTGGTGGCGCAATTGTCATTTTCATTGAATATCACTTGTTGAAAGTTCCATAAGTGACAGTATGTACTAAGGGTGGTAATTATAAAGCAGTGAGTGTGACTTTCATCAAATATTCTCTGGTGGTGAATCAACCACTGGCATGTAAAATGTATGCAGCTGGAAGATTCTCCTGCAGTGAATGTATGGGAAATGTCAGCTGATTCAGTGTCAGTACATCTCTATTTATCAGGCTATGACAATAAGTGGTTATCTATGATGAATGTATAGTGTTAGGGAAAGCCAGTCACAGAATTGCTGAGTATCATGGTGTGTAGAGTCACTGTCAGTCACTTACCTGCTGATATGTATACACAGTGCTGTGCAGAGTACTAGCTGGAGGTGAGTACAATAGGTGACAATACAGGTGAGCAGGGATTCCCCTGGTGGGTGCGTAGAGTACATGGCAGAGTAGTAGATGGATGGTGATGGGTGTGTAGAGTACAGGGCAGAGTAGTAGATGGATGGCGGTGGGTGTGTAGAGTACAGTGCAGAGTAGTAGATGGATGGCGGTGGGTGTGTAGAGTACAGGGCAGAGTAGTAGATGGATGATGATGGGTGTGTAGAGTACAGGGCAGAGTAGTAGATGGATGGCGGTGGGTGTGTGTAGAGTACAGGGCAGAGTAGTAGATGGATGGTAGGTGGTAGTATAGAGTACACATAGTGCAGTGGGTAGTATAGAGTACATATAGTGCAGTGGGTAGTATAGAGTGCATATAGTGCAGCGGGTAGTATAGAGTACACATAGTGCAGCGGGTAGTATAGAGTACACATAGTGCAGCGGGTAGTATAGAGTACACATAGTGCAGCGGGTAGTATAGAGTGCATATAGTGCAGTGGGTAGCATAGAGTACATATAGTGCAGCGGGTAGCATAGAGTACACATAGTGCAGCGGGTAGTATAGAGTACACATAGTGCAGCGGGTAGCATAGAGTACATATAGTGCAGCGGGTAGCATAGAGTGCATATAGTGCAGCGGGTAGTATAGAGTACATATAATGCAGAAGGTAGTATAGAGTACACATAGTGCAGCGGGTAGTATAGAGTACATATAGTGCAGTGGGTAGTATAGAGTACATATAGTGCAGCGGGTAGTATAGAGTACATATAGTTCAGCGGGTAGTATAGAGTACATATAGTGCAGCGGGTAGTACAGAGTACATATAGTGCAGCGGGTAGTATAGAGTACATATAGTGCAGTGGGTAGTATAGAGTACATATAGTGCAGCGGGTAGTATAGAGTACATATAGTGCAGTGGGTAGTATAGAGTACATATAGTGCAGCGGGTAGTATAGAGTGCATATAGTGCAGCGGGTAGTATAGAGTACACATAGTGCAGCGGGTAGTATAGAGTACACATAGTGCAGCGGGTAGTATAGAGTACATATAGTGCAGCGGGTAGTATAGAGTACATATAGTGCAGCGGGTAGTATAGAGTACACATAGTGCAGCGGGTAGTATAGAGTACATATAGTGCAGCGGGTAGTATAGAGTACATATAGTGCAGTGGGTAGTATAGAGTACACATAGTGCAGTGGGTAGTATAGAGTACATATAGTGCAGTGGTTAGTATAGAGTACATATAGTGCAGCGGGTAGTATAGAGTACATATAGTGTAGCGGGTAGTATAGAGTACACATAGTGCAGCGGGGTAGTATAGAGTACATATAGTGCAGCGGGTAGTATAGAGTGCATATAGTGCAGCGGGTAGTATAGAGTACACATAGTGTAGCGGGTAGTATAGAGTACACATAGTGTAGCGGGTAGTATAGAGTACATATAGTGCAGTGGGTAGTATAGAGTACATATAGTGTAGCGGGTAGTATAGAGTACATATAGTGCAGTGGGTAGTATAGAGTACACATAGTGCAGTGGGTAGTATAGAGTACACATAGTGTAGCGGGTAGTATAGAGTACACATAGTGCAGTGGGTAGTATAGAGTACACATAGTGTAGCGGGTAGTATAGAGTACATATAGTGCAGTGGGTAGTATAGAGTACACATAGTGCAGTGGGTAGTATAGAGTACATATAGTGTAGCGGGTAGTATAGAGTACATATAGTGCAGCGGGGGTAGTATAGAGTACATATAGTGCAGCGGGTAGTATAGAGTACATATAGTGTAGTGGGTAGTATAGAGTACATATAGTGCAGTGGGTAGTATAGAGTACATATAGTGCAGTGGGTAGTATAGAGTACATATAGTGCAGTGGGTAGTATAGAGTACACATAGTGCAGTGGGTAGTATAGAGTACATATAGTGTAGCGGGTAGTATAGAGTACATATAGTGCAGTGGGTAGTATAGAGTACATATAGTGTAGCGGGTAGTATAGAGTACATATAGTGCAGTGGGTAGTATAGAGTACATATAGTGCAGTGGGTAGTATAGAGTACACATAGTGCAGTGGGTAGTATAGAGTACATATAGTGCAGTGGGTAGTATAGAGTACATATAGTGTAGCGGGTAGTATAGAGTACACATAGTGCAGCGGGTAGTATAGAGTACACATAGTGCAGTGGGTAGTATAGAGTACACATAGTGTAGCGGGTAGTATAGAGTACACATAGTGTAGCGGGTAGTATAGAGTACATATAGTGCAGCGGGTAGTATAGAGTACACATAGTGCAGTGGGTAGTATAGAGTACATATAGTGTAGCGGGTAGTATAGAGTACACATAGTGTAGCGGGTAGTATAGTGCAGAGGTTAGTCCTGTTACCTGGTGATAGTACACAGTGCTCAGCATCAATCAGTCCACGCCTTTATAAAAGTAAGATTCTCATCAATATCTCAATGAACACAAGAACAATCTCCACCATTGTGACAAGACTGACTTCTCTAGAACATTTGTTCGGCTCATTACATGGCAGTAAGGGTGATAATAGAACTTAGATGAGAAAATCTTCAGTTTTACTCTGATTAGTTGATGCAAAAATGGATCCCCCCCACAACAAGAACCCCTCCATCTAGTATTCTGTATGACCTCCATGATTTGTAAGGGCAGCACCGAGTCTTCTAGGCATGGAATGAACAGGTTGGCGACATATTGCAACATCGATCTTTTTCCATTCTTTAAGAACGATCTCTTTTAGAGCCTGGATGCTGGATGGAGAGTGATGATCTACTGGTCTCTTCAGAAGTCCCCTTAGGTGTTGGATTGGGATCAGATCAGGAGACCTACTTGGCCACTGAATCACTTTCACCCGGTTCTTCTTCAGAAATGCAACAGTGGCCTTAGATGTGTGTTTTGGATCATTGTCATGTTGGAAAAGTGCCCGACGGCCAAGGGCACGGAGTGATGGTAGCATCTTCTCTTTCAATATAGAGCAGTACATCTGTGAATTCATGATACCATCAATGAAATGCAGCTCCCCAACACCAGCAGGACACTGCCACCACCATGTTTCACAGTAGGACACTGCCACCACCATGTTTCACAGTAGGACACTGCCACCACCACCATGTTTCACAGTAGGACACTGCCACCACCATGTTTTCACAGGAGGACACTGCCACCACCATGTTTCACAGTAGGACACTGCCACCACCATGTTTCACAGCAGGACACTGCCACCACCATGTTTCACAGCAGGACACTGCCACCACCATGTTTCACAGCAGGACACTGCCACCACCATGTTTCACAGTAGGACACTGCCACCACCATGTTTCACAGTAGGACACTGCCACCACCATGTTTCACAGCAGGACACTGCCACCACGTTTCACAGTAGGACACTGCCACCACCATGTTTCACAGTAGGACACTGCCACCACCATGTTTCACAGTAGGACACTGCCACCACCATGTTTCACAGTAGGACACTGCCACCACCATTTTTCACAGTAGGACACTGCCACCACCATGTTTCACAGTAGGCACCGTGCATTTTTCTTTGTACTCCTCACATTTGCGACACCATACAGTTTTGAAGCTATCAGATTCAAAAACATTTCTCTTGGTCTCATCACTC